CTGTGTGAGGGCAGAATGGAACCAGCTGTATGGAGGTCAGCGAGGGCAGCAGATCTGATGGATGTTGGAGATCCTGAGCCAAGCCACCTTCCAAATTTAGCCACTCTGCGAAAAGCCAAACAAGAGAGAAAAGACTTGGAATTAGGAGATAAGGACCCCATTGCATCTCTGCAATTGTTAAAATATAGTGTTCCTCACAGTGGTAGCATCCGAGATATTGGACTGGACAGGTTTTTCTGTCACTACTGGAGTAAAACACAGATGAATGTTTATAAGACATTGTCAAAAAAATCTCCCCCAACTGTGTGTTTTGATGCAACCGGTTCAGTTGTGAAAAAACTGCTGAGACCAAATGGCAAATCTGGCCATATATTCCTTTATCAAGGTATTCTGAAAGAAAACAATTGCCGCAGTGTCCCAGTGGTGCAAATGCTGTCAGAGAAACATGATGTTAATGCCATCGCAAACTGGTTGACAGAATGGATTCGTGCAGGTGCACCTGTGCCAAAGGAAGCTGTGAGTGACTTTTCTCTGGCAATTCTGGGAGCTCTGGTCAAGGCTTTCACTCCTCATCCTGATCTGAAGTCATACCTTAATGAATGCTTTCATGTGCTTCTTGGAACCCAGTCTGCCAAACTCCCCTCTTGTTATATCAGGGTTGATGTTGCGCACTGCATCAAGATGATATGCCAGTGGAACTGCCTGAAGAAGAAAACACATCGTGTTAAAGATTTCTTTTTCAGGTCATTAGCAAAACTTCTTCAGTCTCAATGTTTGGACCATGCAAAACAGCTCCTACATGCTATCACTGTTGTGGCCCTCAGTGAGGCAGAAGGTGATGACAGTTCTGGAGCACCTCTTCCTTCAGAAAGGTGCAAGAAATACTTGAAAGCCCAAATTGCTCAAGACTCCATCATCATTCCAGATGAACAGACGGAGGAAAGTGAGAGAGTGGATTCAGTGGATGAGATCCAGACTGACCTACGACAGTGGGTAACAGAAAAATGTGAGGAGAGCAGGTCACTTGCTGCAGCAAACGGGGATAGAGATAATATTCACTTTCTCCCTGAGATTATTCCTCATATAATAAGACTGGCAAGTTACTTGCCACTCTGGACAGGAATAATGGTCCCTCTCTTCCAAAGCACCAGCATCACAGCAAGTTCAGCCACTGTTGAAGCTGAGTTCAAAAACATAAAACATGGCCTTTTCAAACATGACAACTTGCCTCTTCGAGTCAATCGCTTCATTGCTCGTCATCTTTCCTTCATCGAGGGAAATATGCGGATTTGTTCTGCAAAAGAAAAGGTCAAAGATGAGGCAACAGTGGGACCACTGAAAGTCACAGATGCCAATTCTGGATCCATGACGACTCACAATGCAGAAGATAAAATAAAAATGGATGCTCACCCGTTTGTGGGATCTGATGCTGCCACAAACATTCTTCCGGCTGATGGGGATGCAGTTGAGAACTGGAGGGGCCTAGCTGTTCCACCCAAAAAAAGGAAGAGGACTTCCTACCTCTCTTCATGTACCGAATGGCTCCATGCAGATGAAACTTTTGGGGCCAAAAGAGTGAAAGTGGGATTATTAAAAAATGGAAACCTCCATCAGCCTATTAGATTAGGGGGAATCGACAATCTCTGTGCTCAATACCTGTGCATTTGATGCATTTTTTCAGTGCTTATGTTGTGCCTTCTATGACAGCTCCACATTTCAAAATGCTGTTCTGAAAGACAGTGAAAACCCAGTCCTGCAGCTGGTGAAAGCCATTGCCACAGATGGTGTGACCCAACAAACCTACAGAAGGAGAGCAGAGCTGCTTAGTGTAATGTTTGAAGCTGTCTCGTTGAGGTCTGCTGCGATCCAAATCGATGCTCAGTGCAATATCTCCGCTGTAATTGCTAAGACAATGAGGAACATCTCAAGTGTTTATTTTACCAAACACTGCTCTTCACAGCACTGCTAGCTCAGCAAAGGGATGACAAGGGAAGTGCCATTTGTTTCTCCTGCCATCCTGGTTTCCATGGAAAGTAATTGCTTTCCATGGAAAGATGACCACTGATGGTTTGGGGCATTACACTGCATACTGCAGGAGAGCTCCATGTGTGTGGGAGTGCTATGATGACCTGGGAAATGGAGTGACAGGAGCATCTGAAAAGAAAAAAATACAACCCCATGCTGTGTTATACACAGTATAATGAGTGCTGCCTGCATTTTTCTGTTTTATTTGGTTCATTACAGTTACATGTGTTCAAATGGCTAGTGTGTGTTATCAGTAAGTTCAGTTTTGCACATAAAGTTAAAGTTCTAAATTAAAAATCTTTTAACACTCTTTTCTTTGTCAGTCTGATGCATATTTGCTTTTACACACCCAGTCACCTTCACCTGTAGCCTTGAAAGTACCCGTTCCATTTTTCTGTCAATAATTTTTCTGTATTTGTTTTGTGTTTACCTGGTGGCTTAAGTCAGGGGTCAGCATCCTTTTCATTTCAAAGGGCCCCTTTTCCCCCTGCTGCTACAAAACCTGTCTAGACCCTAAAAAAAGAAAGAGCCTATAAATATCTAGAAAATGAGTTGTTGTATCGTGTAAGCTATGGAAATGTAAATAAAAATGTTTATTTTTAGATTTGATAAGACAATGAATCATCAAAGCTTTATAACGAAAAAAAGTATTTGTTAAAATGAAGCCAGCTACGTGAGTCCTTTCCATAATAATTGAAAATGAGGAAAGATGGGCAACCAACTTGAAAATTACAGTAAACAGATTTGAAGCTTTTAAAAGCCTTGTACATTCAGTGAATAGTCAATGCAGATATTTCATAAAAAAAAAAAAAACTGTTAACAGAACCCTTTCTTGTTGTCTTTATAATAAAAAAATGACTTACTTGGTCTTATAAGAGCCACAGTGGAGGGGCCGGAGAGCCACATGTTGCTTTAGAGCCGCAAGTTGAAGATCCCTCGCCTAGGTGCTGTGGAATATTCAGTTTTCTACACGTAGGTAACAACCTATCAAAGCAAACACTTCATTTTTTCTGAGACAGCTACATTAATAATAATGAACATATATAATTCAAAACAAAATCAAAGAGGCCAACTGGGTATGTAAAAAATAATAATAATTTAGGTATACGTGAATCACTTCACATGAAACTCAGTTTTGCCACAGATAAAATAAAAACTTTAGCCTACCTTGTGTACGTTTCTGCACTAGTAACAAAAGAAATATCGACCTTTCCGCTGAATAAATTGTGTTACTAAAGTGTAAACTAATAAAAGTTAATATGCAGCAAGCCTAGAAAAAGTGCAAAACTCCACAGCTGCTGAAAGTCACTGCCACAGACACTGGTGTTGTACAGCGTAGGCCGTAATAATTAAAATCATTATATCTCAGATACTGTAGCAGCACAAACGCTAATTTTACCTGCACAAATCACCACAAACGTAGCACTAAAAAAGTAGACCATTTTGGCCCGTTTTGGAGCAGTCTGGGGGGATGGTGACCTTTGAATGACCTATAAAATAATGTTTAATATCTCGGAAACCAGAGCAGCACAAACGCTAATTTTACCTGCACAAATCAGCACAAACGTAGCACTAAAAAAGTAGACCATTTTGGCCCGTTTTGGAGCAGTCTGGGGGGATGGTGACCTTTGAATGACCTATAAAATAATGTTTAATATCTCAAAAACCGTAGCAGCACAAACGCTAATTTTACCTGCACAAATCAGCACAAACCTAGCACTAACCGCTCCGCCTATTTGCCTTTGCGTTTCAAGTGGTCAAAGAACGCGCAGGGTAGGTCTGGGTCCTGAACGCAAGGGGGCGCTCCAGCATCAGCGTAATCCCCGCTACTTACAGCGAGTCGGGAGGAACCAGCTCAGTGTGGAGACCTACTGAGCTGTGACAGCTACAGTAGGCCTGTCACGGGAATCCGTCACTAAAACCACTCTCCTACATGATGTGGCAAGAATAAGGACATGGGGTGTTTAGTCATCACAGTGGCATCACTGCGCAGTCAGTATTATTCTAATGATGTCGCTGAGGATTCTGTTGCTATAATAATAATAACAACAGAAAAACTAAAAACCCTTGCTGTAACCCAATGCTTGTAGTATCTCCTCTTTTATTTTAGGTGCACTGTGCTTATATGTTGGTCATAACAACATTAGTTGTACACTACAGCCAATGTCATGACATTTGACTATAACATCAGTTTATTACTCTAAGCCGTCTGGATTTACCTTAGTGTAATAATACGTTTCTGTTCAAACAGATGACCTCACGTTGACCTTAATGTGTACATGTTGATAATTTTAGGGTTACAGCTTATTTCATTACCTAATTCCACACAGTAAGCAGGAGAAAACAAGCAGTTCTGGCTACAGCAAATGTGTCAAAATGATTATGCCTCTCTAAGCGGGTTTATTTTTTTATTTTTTTATTTATTTAATACCCCCCCCCCCCCCTTTTTTTTTTACGGTGTTGGCCTGTTAAAGATCCAGAGGGAGAGGGAGAAGGGGGCAGTGCTGTGGCTCTGCTGACGTGATAGAAAGAGAGAGAGGAATGTGCCGCTAATGAGAATATGACGTCAAGTCGGACAGATTACTACACAACACCGGAAGTAGCGCGCAGGGTCATACTCAGTAAACGTTTACATTTATTGTATTTCACTATCATTTTTGTTTTTACGTATCATAGAAAGTTAAGAAGAAATTAACGGCATTCGAGCCGTTAGAATATTATTTCTACTCGTCTATTATTTGAAATGAGCTCTCACATTTTGTCAGAGTTCCCTAAAAAGTAATAGTAATGCAAATAAAAATCTTAAAGTCACAGTAAACCCAACAGTATAAAGACCTTTCATACAGTGCTTCTGAGTAAATGCTTAGGAAGCAATGACATAGCTACTTAAAACCGCCTGCTTCGAATTTTATTTTGTTTTGACGCTCTAACCGGAAGTAAGGTTTGTCATTGCCGCTCGCTTAGCGCCTCGGTGTAGTAGAAAACGGACTGCCGCTTGAGAGAGCAGGAGAGAGGTAAAGAAAAAAAAGCAGTGAAATGGTATAAAACTCGAGCCAGTGCAAGCCTAGTAAGGGGGAAGACGAGGAGGGACAACGCCAGAGGATTATTGTTCTGTCTGTAATTACCGTCAAAGTCCTGTAAACTCCCGCTTTTTGATGCTGTCCTCACGGAGGTTTGAGCCAATAACGGACTTATTGGTCGGCTGAACCATGCAGAGGCTGCTCCTCCTGAGTTTGGTGCTGAGTTTTCAAACTGGTAAGACTACATTTTCTCTTTCTTTCGAGCTCGAATAACTCAAATGTTTGTGTGTGTGTGTGTACATTAAGCTCAATGCACACCGAGCCTGTCTTTAGTTTTTACTGTGCGGTCTGTGTGTGTAGAAACTAACGAGAGGGGATCTGATATGATTTCATTCCCATATGAACCGCAGCGATGGATCACCTTGTGAGCGCGTGTAGCTGCGTACGAGCACGCAGAACGCGCGCGTGTGACTGCACCGCGGCAATTACGCTCTTTTTTTTTTAGGATTATTGTCGCGACTACAGGCGTTCGATTGTGTGCGCGCGTGCGTCTAACTTGAACATGACTGGTGTGGCGCGCGCTCACCGGCCTAAATGACCTTTTGCGTATTTGACAAACTGCCAGCGCCGTTACTCAGACGGGTTGTGAGGCGCTGAGGACGTGACGGGAATGACAGTGATTGACCAGCGCTGCTCTACATGCCAGCAGCACTTCCACGCTGCTATCGCCTCTGAATGGCGTGTCAGTCAATGAGAGCTCTGCCACCATCTCCTGTAGTGATCCTCTGTGCTGAGAGGCAGCCGTCTCCCCCCCGTTTCCCCTCTGTCTGCCTCGCGCGCACACACCTCTCTCCTGCTCTACCTGTGCGCCTCATCCATTTCACCCTCTCCTTTGGCGTCCTTTGTGCATTTAAGCAGCAGTAGCCGCCATGCATCTGCACCCCCTCCCAACACACCAACACACACACACCGTACCTGTGGGGTGCCAGGTATGCTATTGGCTTATGATAATCACAGCTGTAGCCGAGTTGCTAGGAAACAGGAGGCTGAAGGAGGATGAGGAGAGGATAATTTCTCTAAGCTACCTGTTTGATTGAGGCATATCTGTGTGTCTTTGTGATTGCACAGCCACAGCAGACCACCTATACCCCCCCCCCCCCCCCCCCCCCCCAATACACACACACACACACACACACCCCTTCCCTCACCTTGGATGACCGGGGAGTAATGCAATGCTGGCTGCTGGGCGGCCAGGAGACCACTTCATCATAGGTAGGGGGCGTGTTTGGAGGAAAGGAAGGTATAGAAAAGGATGATGTCACCTAGTCTGCCAGGCTTTGTATTTTTTATTTTTTTTGCTTCTGCTCAGCATCCACCCAGTAAGTGCTGCTGAGGGTTCACATAAGCACGCGAGGATGTACACGTACTAGGGAGCAGGTTCGTCTTCGTCTACATATTTGCCAACCGATGCGGCAGCACCACCACCGATCCCCCTCCTCGCCACCCTGACCCCTTGTTACTGTCACATGCCGTTCCCATTTATCCCCCCTCATAAACCATTCAGTCCACATGACTGAATGTGCATGAGACACACTTGCTCGCAGCCTGTTTTACATGTGTGAAGCCCTGCGTCCCATTGTCTGCTACAGCTGTATAATCCATTATTACTCCACGCTGCGCTCTCAAACCAGGAGATATCTGCTCTCTGAAGGCTCTCCCCGCGACGTGATTAGCAGGGCCGTACATGAGAGCTCAAATGTTGCCCAGAGATTTTAAAAAATTTTTTGCACTGGGCTACAAAAACAGAAGAGGAGTTGACATAATCCAGAAAGAGCTGGAATTCATATCACCTCCAAAGAGATAACAGTTGCTTTCGGTTTGGGAGCACAATTTCTTTTGCTTCTGATCCCCACTCTTATCTCTTCATTAGATGGGTAAAACAGTATTCCATAGCCTGCAATTTGCTCACATATAATTGGCTGCTAGTGTTAATGATTGGATGGTTATTAGTGGAGCAGCTAATTAAAGCTTTGGAATATCAGAATGTTCTAAGGTATTTAAAGTCAATGCAAGCGTTAGTTTGTCTGTACTAGCAGCAGGAGTGATTGATTCAGGATCCCAGCCTTGTATCTACATACCAGCCTAGTAATAAGTCCTAAGCAAGCGCTGCCATTAATGCTGCTGTTAAATGTTACTGCATAATCAATCATTGCGAATTCGCTCCTTTAACTTACTAATGAGCGTTCAAGCCCCGAGGTTGGACTCGCAGCACTGCACCTATAGCCAGACCTCGGGCCTGAAATGCTGACGCGGACAAAGGCTCCAGTGCAGGTGTACCATTTGTCAGCCTCTGTCCTTTTGTGCACATCCAAGCCACGAGCTGCTGCTGCCTGTACTGTACTCTCCAGCCCTGAATCACACAGCCGGGCTGTGAATCACAGACCTCAGACGGATTCCTGTGTTGTCCTCAGCTAAGAAAATATTCACATGCTGGAAGAGTCAGACACACTCAGAGGGGATTTTACACCCAGAGAAAGAAGGGTTCCTCAGGGGTTGTTTGATCAGAGAAGCAGTGGTTCAACTGCAATATGTTAATGACTCAAAGTGGGCTGTAATAGCTCAAATAAAAATGAAGAATTGGGAAAGGCTCATAAAGAATCCAGTGTGGTGCTAAAACACTCTGTTAAAACTGCTGATTTACAACATTACATACATTCTTGCCAGTAATAATCTGTGGCATTTCCTCCCTCTGAATAAATTCACAGATTTCTTATCTCTGATTCAGGCATGGTTTCTTTTTCATTAGCATGGGAATATCCCATATCACACAACATATGGCGCTTTTTTATTGTCCTCACAATAAATAAAAGAAGGATTCTGTAGTTAGTCTGGGCTGATCTCACATAGACGAGCCTCACTTTTTAGCACATGAATGCATACTAGGAAAACAATATCCAGGGATCAAAAGTTTGCCACAAAATGATGCGATTCATTTGTTTCGACTCAGATGATGGCTACGGGAAATTAAAAAAAGAGAGCGCAGCACTAGTAACTGATGAAGAATAAAAGTTCCACCTACAGAAACTTGTCCTCCAAGTGGATTACCACTTTACACAACTATTTATAGCGATATGATGCTTTTTGAAAGCTTGCTGCTACGGTTTTTGAGGCTAACGAACCAGTTTTTTTCCCCTATACTGAGCTCTCTGTGGCTCAGAGTGTAGATCCGGAGTGACAGACTGTATGTAGCGAGGCAGAAGTCTGTTTTTAATTTTGATCCCAGTGAGCAGAGATATAGCTCTGCTGCATCCCACCGTTAATATGCGAATTGAGGTCACGGTTTTTATGTGATTCGAATGAAGCCTATTTACCAAAAAAGCATCTCTAATTGACATTAGCCACTGAAAGCAATCACTGAACCAGCTGTAATATAATGTACATGTACGCCCGTTGTTCCCCATTGGGTTCCATTCAATCAAGAAATTCTTGGCATCTCTGTCCCCCGCGGGTGTTTGTCAATGTGTGACATGTTGATTGCTTCTCTCAGTTGATATGTTTGTTTAAGGGCATTCCTCTGGACACGAGTGTCCTATTATGTTTTTTCAAGTGGCGCTCGGGAGGAGGAACGTACTCGCTTGCTCTCGGATGATCCAGCGAAAACCTCGAAGAAGTATGCAGTTGGATAATTCGCCGTCAGACTTGTGGTCCGAGATGAATTCGGTCAAAAGCGGGCACGCTTACTTGCAAGCATCCTCAGCAGCTATGCACGTAAATGTTCCTCAAGTGAAGCCCCAGGATTTAAAGGCCTCATAATCTGATTGTGTTTGACAGGCCGGCGGCCAACAAGTTATAAAAAGAAAAAAGAAAAAAAAAACTTCCCCTTAAAAATGTTTCTTTATGCACAGTCCCCCGAGCAAGAGAGAGGAACACTTTATCACATCTGACTGAATCTATTGGCCTTGTTATTTTCCAACATGGCACAGCCACATTTCTGTAGCAAGAAACAATTTGAGGTGATGGAGGGGTTACAGGAAAAAAAATAGAAAAAACCCCCAAACTTTTGGAAGGCAGGAAGGGGGACAGAGAGAGAGGGGGGGGTCGTCCTTTGGGCAGGTGGGTGAAGCAGGAATCGAGAGTGATTGCACTCTTTTTTTTTTGTTTGTTTTAGAGGTGGTGAGGTGGGTGGGTGGCGGGGCAGTATTGAAGTGTAGGACGAGGTTGTGGATGAAAAGAAAAGCGAGCCGGGAGTGAGGAGAGAGGGACCAGGACGAAGGAGGAGGAGTGGTCGGGAGGCCAGCGGCATAGAGAAAGGGACTATTACTCAGGCTTGACTGCTCCCTCAGTGGGGACAGCAAAGCTGCTCATTCACACAGAATATGGTCGAGTCCGGTTCAAAGGCTACGTTTGCGCTGGAATCACAACTGATTGAACCCACATCTGAGGTGCCAGCCGAGCGCTTCCCCCGCTCCGTCCCCACTGAGGTTAATTGCCATTAGCCGGTGTCGCCGTTAACTTTCTTTTCTGCTCGTCTTTGACTTTCTGTCTCAGCGTGATCCCTTTTCTGCTTACCAAAGTTCATTCTTTCTCGCTTTCTGTTCCCTCCTGGACTTCTTTTTTTTCACTCCCCTCCCCTCCCCACCTCCACCACCACCATTACTTCTTCTCTTTCCATCTACCCCTTTCTCTCTTGCTCGCTCTCTAATAAGTTCCAGATGTGGTTCTTGCATTCCTCTGGTCGGTGGAGAGAGAAAGAGACGGGGTGGGGGGGTGTGGGGGGGGGGGTAGGGGTTGGGGGAAGAGTGTATGAGTCGGGGAGGCAGTGGGGGGAGGGGACAGGAGGAGAAGCACATGAATTAAAACAGGGAGCACATGATGAGGAAGAGGAGCCCATGTACTTTATCACACAAAGAAATGTGTGCTAGAAAACATGCACACACACAGAGGGAGAGCGTGTTAGTGTGTCTGTGTTTTTGGGGGGTGCGGGTCCTGTAACCTCAAAAGTTTTGGGACATTCTCCTCCTCCTCCTCTTCTTCCCTCTCTCCCCCGCCTCCTCCTCCTCACCCCCTCCCTCTTCAGGAATGTGGCCTACGCTGATGATGTCACTTCATTTCTCTGCTCTCCCAGTTTCTGCTGCTCTGCAGGGACAGGGTCTGAGAGAGAGAGAGATTTGACTTGTTCCATCCATCTTTCCTTTATGATAAAAGCATTAGGGTCAGCCGTCCAACTAAATCGGT